CTCAGAGGACAATAAAATGCTCAAAGGAAGGAAAGACCACAATAAGAGGAAGTCTTGCAGGATTAGGATTAATTATTTTACAGAACAGAGTAAAATGGGCTTCATCTAAAATATGCTGGGGTCCATGGAGAGTCTCCCACTCAAACCAATGAACTCTAATTTAGCCCCCACGATGGATACAAATGTCTGCTCAAAAGTCACAACCTTAGGACCTCCATGCTCAGGAACACAAGAATCGCAGGTACAACCTTCATGTGCTCTCCTTGCACATACACTCGTGGACTCTGCTTTACTGCAGGATCATGTGTGATGTTTCTTCCGCCAAACCCCTTCCTCCTCACATTGGGCATGGATGGTGCTCCACAGGCAAGCAGCTGTCCAGAGCTGTACACTCTTTTTGTTGCATGATGATGTTCTGTAGACTGTTTAAAGCTTCAAGGATTTTCCTATGGTGCTCATCACCCAGCTACCCCAGTGCTTTACAAACATTCATTCCCTGGGCCCGACTTTCCCCTTTTCACAGCTGCAGAAGCCAGGTGAGAAGGTTAAGTCAAAAAGTAGTTATTAATTTGGGGGATCCGTTCGGATAGTCTGAGTCTTCAGAGCACACCATACATGCAGATCGCACTGATGGTAGCTGTAGCTCTGTGCCTGCGCCGGGGCTCAGGAGGAACATCCAGCATCCAGCTCTGAGACACCTCAATGTCTTACCTCTGGTCTCACAGGAACTGGGTGATGAGGGCAGAAATAGCACCTAATTCTGCAGGGTATCAGCTGTAAGTAAGAGACAACTGTGCCCCACCTGGTCTTACTCACTACATTCATTACAACCTATGCAACAACTAGAGCATCCTTCATAATTCAGATGTGATGTGACATGTCACCTTAGTTCTGGCTTTTCCTAGTTTGTAAGAGCTTGATTTTGTGATCTTCAATAATCTCTGAACATTATTTTTGTAATTTAATAGGCCTTAAAATCAAGAGTAGTCAGAGCAAATGAAGCAGAAGACTTTCTGCCTTTTCAACCATGCTAACAGAGGATGCGACAATTTCCTAGGTGGTCCCCCAGGTACTGGCTACCGGTGTAACACTGGACATGGCAGTAGCGTGTGCCAGGCCTCCTCTGACCTTGATGGAGGGCACAGCTCTCCGGGGTGATCTTTAAACACACAACACTTAAGCTCTGGTCCAAGTAAAACTTGGCCACCAAGGCTAGAGGGACTGGTAAAAGCCAATAACCGATCATAAACATTAGGTAAGCTAAGAGGGGTTTCCTGCTTCACGCAAAGGGCATTGCTGGGTGAAGATGTGGTGAAGGAGGAGCTCCTCAGGCTTTCCAGTTGAGGGCTGAATCTGGGCCTGACCTTCAGCCTGTACCTTTGCTTTCATGTTGCAATCATCCAGTCACTTCTCCCTGTTTGTTTTAAAGACTAAAGGCCAAGAGCTAGATAAACTTTGGATTTAACTTTAATTCATGATCAAAGCACTGAAGTGCAGTTCACTACTTCAGCTGCCCTCCTCTTGGCAGGTTGCCACAGTATTAGTTAGGGAGTCTGGGATTTAACACTGGTTTGCATGCCCTAGATGTGAGCCAGCCCTTGTTTGCCCAGCACTTCCCCTGTCTCCTGTCCTACCACCAGTCCCCACCACCAGTTTTCAAGTGGTGCCTTCTCCTCCTCTGACCTGCTCATTCATGTCTCTCCTCTGGATACCTTGTCTTAGACTCCATTCTCCTTCAGCCCCAGCTCTCAGCTCCACTTTCTCTTCATATGCTTCTCGGACTACTTAACTCTTGTGAATTCATTACTACCCAGTCCCAGCACCTGGTCCCACATTTTCCCCATGCAATGTCCCAGGGACTGAGGGACCCAGCAAGTCCTCCAGTCCATCCACCTTTTTTTGCCTCTTTCTACCTCTATCCCTTCCTTGTCCACTTTTTCTTCTTTTCTTTGGAGCAAGCATGCAAAAGAGAAAGTATTTCTGTTCCCAATTCCTCTGTTTTGTGCTACAGGGGTCTTTGGAAGAGTTACTGTAAGCACAAGGTATAAAAGATAGGCAAACTCATTGTAGCCACCAAATCCTATAATGAACTTTTATAAACTCAGAGGGGGGACAGACTTGCCTGAATACAGATACTTTATAGGCTATGGTCTGAGGGTCATGTACAATAAAGACTGATTTACAAAAGAGAAATACGACCTCTCAGTATACAAAATAGAGGCATTAAGTCAAATGGCTATGTATTTGCTTGCAAAAAAATAATACCGAGAGTATCATTCTCTCTCTGAGTCAGAAGAAATAGGAGTTTTCAGGCCCCTTTCTGATAGAGCGTTGGAAACAGTAGAAAGGAGGTCTGAAAGGCATGAGTCTTGCCAGTCTTCTTTCAGGGCCCAGAGAATATCACTGTGGGCTGGGATCCTGCAGACTCCCTGATGAACTCTGGCATAGGACTCCTTTGAAAGATCAGGCTTCTTGGATTCAATAGCTCTGACCCTGCTGACCACTGGAGAAGACGGTTTAAGCTCTCCAAAGAGGTTAAAATGATTTGTGAAAACTTAGGACACCAATCAACAGATCAACTGGAAGAATAGGCCAATCTTAGTTCTGGTGAGCAACCCATAAAATGCCAGCTCACACCAGTGAAATATGTGTAGTTACAGCAGATTGTCATCAAATAAATCATTGCAGCCCAAAGCTAAACCAGGAGAGGCAAATCACAGTTTAGACCTAGCGGAGTGTGGATACAGAAGCCAAAGTGACAGAGGGGAAAGGAGTATTTTTCAATTCCATGTTGCAAATACGTAAATAGTAACAACCTTAAAGTCATGTCATAGGTGGGATAAACTGAAAACAGAAAGTAGAAGGGACTTGGCCAATGCCACTCAAGTGGCTATGTGCAGAACCAGGATCAGATGGGGCTCTACAACCCTCAGCTCTCATCCTTCCCCCAGGCCTCTCTACACATACTGCTTCAGCTACAAGGAACCATGGGAAAGACCTCACAGCACAAAATGTTCAGGAAAACTGCTTTCCTTGGTGAGGAATTGGGTGCCAATGCTGGCGGTGAGCCGCGCAGCATGGCTGGTTGCATGGGTGCAACAGAGCTGTGCAAACATACCGGTTCAGTGGTGTGGAGAGATTGTCCCTCATCCCAAACAGTTCTTAACCCCATGCTGACCCTATGCTAACGATGGCTTCTTCTCACCTACTCCTGAGAAACCTGCCTTCCTCTTAGATTTTGGCCCAAGGGTAAAACTCAAACTAAGTCAGAACAACCTGAGTAAAAATGACAGGGGACAGCAGCTTATGCTATGGAGACTCAGATCCAGGGAAAGAGGCTCAGCAGCAGCCTCGCTAGAGACCTGGGCACCAAAACTGGAAGAGTGTTGAGGCGGCACAAACTGCCTTTAAGATCTGTCTTATTAGTGTAATATCTCCCTGTCTTTAAAATAAAGCATTTGAAAGTCCTATTCAGAAATACTAGGTGAACTTCCAGCTTCTCACTAGTAGCTAAAAATAAAGACCAGGATACACTTCATATTTCACTTCTTAATATATCAACTTGAGATAGAGATATAGATATGGAGATATAGATAGAGATAGATAGATAGTCTAGCTCTGAGTGTATTTTTTGTTGAGTAATTTATCCACAAACCTAGTCTGATTTGCTAATGCATGCCTCAAATGCACTCATCAGATATTCTGAGTGAGTACATTCAGACAGCATCGCAAACTCTTTGCTGTTCTTGATCTGTGCTGTGAGTTTGCTTATGTGGATCACATGGAAAATTATTACCGGATCTATAAAAAGAAAATGCAAGTAAAATACAATTAATTTCTGCTGCAAATTTTAACTTGTTGTTGTTGTTGTTGGATAATGGCACTATATATATTAGATTCATTTTTAAGTATTTATGAATAAAAAGGGGGTGTTCAGGAATAATGGTTGTACAGTGTAATACTATGTGCTATATAGCAAATTAAACCTTTATTCTGAGTTATATTTGAGTAACTTGTTAATATATATGCTCTGGAGTAAAATATCCATTCTTGGTCATTGATAGTAAACTTCCTAACATATCCTGATTGAAAATGTATTCATCACTTCATAGTAAGCCCCGTTAAGTAGCCTTCAGCAGTAAACAAGCCCTCTTTCAAGTTCCTGTGTACTCTGATCTGTCTCACAAGTCAATTTCATCAGAAAACAGAATGGAAACTTTTGGAAACAAGCCACATTTTATGGAGAAATAGCTTCAACACTCGCCTCTAAACAAAGATCTGAAGCTACTGGCATGCAATTCAGGAATGACTGAATCAAATAGGTTTGGTCAGAGTAACCTTCCAACCATCATAAAGTTTACTTTGTTTTGTTTGGCCAACAGTAGAGCACAGATAACAAGTTCAGATTTTTTTGTAATAATCAAAAATTTATTGAGAATTTGTACAGAAAAAAATAACCATGTACAGAGGTAAGCACTGCTCAGGGAAGAGGTTTGGGCATTTTACAGTCAACGGTGTTTCATAGTCAAAACTGAACTGTGTAATGTTAGGTAAGTTCAGTGTCTAAGAGATAAAAGATTTGTTTTCCCTCTTCAGACCAGTCTTTGTGAAATTCTCCCTTTACGAGTCTCCAACCTACAACAGAAAAAAAGAAAGCATTTTAATGTTCTTCTAAAGAAAGGAGTACATAAGGCTATGATGACATGTTGATAGTGTTCATACATAGTTATGCTAGTTGGAAATTAAAAATGTAGCATTTAAAAGACATGAAGGCAAGGGATTATTTCTGATCACAAGACTATCCATTTATCTATCTGTTAAAAGAAACAGTAATGTGGAAGGCATACTAAAATCAAAGTACAACTATTTCTGTGACAAAATGGTAAACAAAGCCAACTCCTCTAAGATGCAGTGGGCTTAACACTTCAGCTGTCCATGCTCAGTGTTTGAAATGATAACTATGTTCTGTTGTAATTTTAAATATCTCCTCGGCCCTGTGGTCAAACCTGTTTGACGCTGCCTAAGTTGTGCTGCTGTCCATCTATTGACAGTCTGTTGGATGGGATAATTTTCATTGCAGTTTTCTTCATGGAGTACCACCGGTCACGCCAGGTTGCCCAGATAATGCCATTGTCATATCCAGATGGACCAGCATCTTTCGATGTGTAGACACCATCTAAAAAATATCAGTTGGAGCAAAACAGTTACTTTCTAAAATAGTTAATGTGCCCATACTTTTCTGGTAGTAACACCTCCACAGCATCCCTGGGAATGTTAAGAGGCCCTGTTCACTGCCCTTCTCCCCCTAGTTTGCTTCTCTCAGGACTGATTCTCCCACTTTGGGCTGGAGAGCAGCCATAAGTTCCTACTCCTGGTGTTAACAGTTATTGCAAAGAATGGGCTGCAACCAGCTTTGGGAAATCCAGATGGTAATACATACTCAATGAAAGTGACCCATTTTTCTTTGTCACTGAAACGTGGTGTCCTGGGTTATAGGTATTTAGAAGATACTTTACCTATATAATATTTGCCATTGAGGTGGCCAGCATGACATCTATTCATCCACCATCCAGATCCATCTTGCTCAGCACAGTTGCCAGCAAAGTTATCATTGTCGTTATCATAGGTACTGAACCGCATGCCATTATGAGAGGTAAAGGATTTGTCACTTGGATTGTCTCCAAAATCAAAGCCATCAAAGGCATCCCCGGCTTCGCCACCGAGAAAGTAGGCATAAGTCAGTCGATACTTGTCAGCTTCACTTCCCACTTTGAATACAGCATAGTCAGCAGTACTGTTAACAAAGGAGAATGGTGACTATGAGCATGCTGCATTCCCAATACATGCACGAATGAAAAATACATAGATGTTAGAACTGCAGAAAAGGCATTTATGGCATCCTAGCATTTCAAAAGGAATTGGTTTTGCATGACTCTCTGCTTCAGTTCAATGACACATCCAACCAACTTTTGTGCTCCAGTATCAGACATGTTTTCTGACTACTAGTCTTCAGTGATGTATGAAAGATCTACATTATATAAACCCACATACATATATCTCCCAGGTTCATAATGCTGAGGCTTACTTAGGTAATGAGGAAATTCTTGGTGGGAGGAAGGAGCAGATGTCTCAATAAATACAAAGATAGTAAGCCCTCCTGGAGAATGGAATACATAGAACAGAACAGAATAGAATAGATAGAATAGAATAGTTCAGTTGGAAGGGACCTACAATGATCATCTAGTCCATAAGATGCAGAAGATGTGAAGAAACTTGAAGAGAAGAAACAGATTCCTTCTGCCAAATAAACTAGGGCTGCCAGCATGTGGCCTTCAGGCACGCATGTGTGCCTGGCAACAAGTCACGGATGGTGACTGCTGTAACAGCTGTGAGTGGAGAAGCCAAAGCAGTGTGCTATGCATGTTAACAGGTCTAAGGGCTCATCTTTTTTTCAGAGAGCTGTACAAACTGATGCAGCAGTGGGAGCAGTAGGTTTTAAGCTGTCATTTTCAGAAGCATCATGAGCAAATACCCTTTTTTGCCACTCCAGTCCTCCAGTTCTATTCGTAAGGCATATGGCAGAGTGGACTGCGTAGTTATTAAATGAATTTTTTCGTTGCCCAGCCAGAACTCAGTGGTATCATCTGGAGACAGATGTCCAAATCCTTCCTTGTACTGAACCCAATTTCTCTTGAAGTCCTCACTCCCATCCAGTCTCTGGGGAAAAACAAAACCAAAAACATAGTAAAAAAACATCATTCGAAAAGATATGTATCTTATGTAGGTAAATAAAAACAGTGCTGGTGCAATAAGCTTGCTCATGATAGTAATACATAGGTGGCATACCCTCTGTAATACTGTCCAGCCGTTGCCATATGAGTCAATCTCACAGTAGACTAGGAATGACTGCTTGGCTTTCTGAGGCTTGATAAAGTAAAGACCACTTTTTCTGGCACCTTTATTTGCAATGTCTTGACAATCTGAAGTAAAGATATTCAAAGGATCGTTATTAATCTAGCTAAAGTTCTAGCCTCACATTTATTTGGTATTGTAACTTCCTTAGTGCAATAAATACAATTCATCTAAATGTCATTGTTGCAAAGCCAGCTACTTTAATGCCATTAACATAAAAAATCCTACTGAAGGTCACAGCACTTGTGTAAGATGAGGAAGAATTTAGTCTCATGTAGAGTTAAGCAACTTAAATGTAAAATATTGTTGTTGCATTAATTTCTACATCAACAAAAAAGGCATTTTTGGAGCTAATGGAATAATTAATTTTTTTTCAGGTGACCCAGTAGAAATGTGATAATGAGTTCTCTTATGTTTGTCTTATGTCCATGGAAACTCATGTCCCTCATGTTTAGCATACATTTTGGGATAATCATATTTTGGCCAAAAAGCCCAAAGGAGCAAGTGAGACCTCTGTTCCATCTGAATGCCTTGTTTGCAGAGCACATTTACACTGATCCAAGCACTGGTTTCATAACTTGCAATCTTACATGTCTTTGCCGAAATCTATGGCCCATAAGATTACAAATAACTCATCGCTATGATATCAACTGGCGATATTTGTAACTGAATTAAACCTCCACCATACAAGAAGCATTTTGCGCACCTCTTCCTTGTGTCTCCTGTATTTCAGCCGTGTCTCTGCACGGCTCCTGACAGTGTGACTCAAGCTGGGCAATCTTCTGTTTCAGCTGTGTAATCTTGTTGTTGTTCAATATATGTGTATCTGTCAACTGTCTGGACAGAGAGACATAAAAATGGCTTGTTGTTTCAGCTGTTTCTGAATATGTAATACAAATTTCCCTGCACACATGCCTCACCTATGTAGCATACTGCTACATACAGCCCTGTAAAAGGCGATGCCTCTACTAGCACCGATATTTAAAGTTGAGGAAACTAGCCAAAATAGGAAAGCACATGCTTAACCTTATGCAAAACTCAACTCTAATCAGCAAAACTCAAACCAATAATTAATGTATGAATATAACTCTATGGAAAGTTTTTCTTTGTTCTCCTGAAGTAAATGATAAGTTATTCCACTTTAATTATGTATGCATTTGTAAAACACAAATGCTGTAAACAAACTGCTGCAAGTGTCAGAATGCCTAAATCATCTTTGATATAATGTTATAGAAGTGGAGATTTTTCTATATTCAGGTCAAAAACCATATCCTTAAGATTTAGAAAATTTAAAGATGTTTTCAATTTTATTTTCAATGTCAATTTATAAAAGGCTACCACCGAGTTTATAGTTACTTATGATTTATATCAATGTAACTGAGCTGATTTTCATGGATATATGCAGCAAAATTAGCCAGAATGAATGATTGTACAAATATTCCACACACTTTGTATTACAGCACAAACTCGTATCAATAAAATCTCCAAAGGTCATGAAAAAAAAGTTAGAAGTAGCTGGCACAGCAAAAGAAACATAAATAAAAATATTGCCAGGCTTCCCGACATTCTTATCTTGCACTTCCTGCATGATTAACAGCTGATGCAGATGAGCAGAGCATGCAATATCAGATCCTCATAATCCTTTTGTGTCTTGCTAGGCTAGGCAGCTACTAATGACGGTGTGGGCACAATGGTCCACATGAGCACAAAAAAACCTTTCTGAGGGAGGCTTAGCTGCACTTCATAAAAGAACAGAAAGAAAATGATTTGGATTGCCAAGTGATATAAAAGGTGGAAGATACCTACTGTATAGTATTTTCATGAGACACAATAGTGTTTTCATATTTTATAATTTCTTCAATTATTTTCTTGGACTTTTGAGTAAAACCATCAATGGAATCTGTAAAATAGACAAAGGTATAAAATCATTCCAATTAGGGCAAATTAAAAACCAAGAAAACTACATAAACTATATTTTTCAGTTGAGTAAGTTATTTTTATATTCTCACTTGGTAGTGTCTGCTTTTCTGGAGGATAGAGGCTTTGGATGTGTTGAATCAAATGTTCTGCTGTTACTGTGGAGTTAGCAATTTGCCGCAAAATTCTCTCCATTTCCTGCAGTTCATTATCCATAGTGAGATGGTATTTATTAAAGAAATCTGCAATGCCACAGGTTGTTGGGCAGTAGCTACCCTAAAGAGGAAAGAATAATAATTGGCAATGTTTCAGGAGGAAAAAAAGCAGAGCAGAATATATGGGCAGGGGAGCTTTCAGGCACCGCTTAGACAAACGATTGTGGATAAAAAAGGGCAGGCATTGGCCATTTTGTCCGCTGTATTTGAATGCACAGAGGCAGTTTACGTTCACACTGTGTGCACACATAGCAAGAAAACCGTGCATGCTATTACTTGTGGCATCTTCTGGATATATGTTTTCATCAACACTGCAGCCTCCTGTGCATTTTTACGGAGCGTATACTGCAATTTATAAATAACAGGTTTAAGCACAGCCCATTTAATAAGTATTGAAAACAACAATGAGGATCAAGTGATAATGGTAGTTAATAATCAGCATAGGAAAGCTTTAATTAGTCTCTTAAGATAAAATAAAATTGTTCAGGTACTTACAAATCGTTCATCTAATATGCAGCAGTTTTCTCTGGTAGCAATGTACTGAAGAGAAAAAAGAAGACCATTTTCAGTGAATTTTCTCCGACAGCGCTATCCACGCCGAAGTGTTTTCTAACACTGTCTCTTCACTTACCGCCATGCTGGTAGAAAAGAGCAGGGAGAGGAAAGGCCCCAGGGCAGCCCAGCTGCCTAACCTCAGCACCATCATGTCTGTCCGACTAGGCGCTGCTGACTGCTTGGTGCAGTGGTGCAGTCAGCAGCCAAAAACGTTCAGCCCAGCACAGGGCGGCAGGAGTTTAAGGGAGCAGGCTGAAGCTGGGGGCGGGCACCAGGAGGTGGCGGGAAGAGGTGGGGTAGGGGTTTGAGGTGGATTCCCAGAATTTGCACACATCTCTTACTCCACCCATTTGCAGAACCTGCTTCCCACTTAGCCGCTTAATCTCTGCTCTAGCCAGGAGGTCTCAGGGGAGGCAGAAAGGTGAGACAAGTCCTGGAGATGCTACTTCTAGTAACACGAGTGTAAGGAAACTCATACATGGCTTCGGGATGGGGCTGGCAGAAGTTCCTCTCTAACGGCAACAGGAAAAGCCACAGTAGCTACCTGAATTATGTGTAACAACTATCAACAGCCTAACAATAAATACTGTTTTGCAGTTACGTAGCACTTTGCCATCACAGATCTCAATGTGCTTTGCAAAAAGAATCAACATCATTTTCCCTATTCTGCGGATGACAAAACCGAGGAACAGAAAGGTATGAAGTCATGTTGGGCAGTGGCATATCTGGAAAAGAAGCCTGTGGTATTTATCACAGGCAAGGAAAGCACGGAGCTTCCCTATCCTTCAACTCAAGAAGTCCATTTGAACAACTTTGGTCAAAGCTTCCTTTCTGGGGAACTAATGTTCTCAGTATCTGCCTTACTCAATACACCTACAAGACTGGTGACAGGCTCCCTCTTCTGCTATGGGCTTTATCCCAGCCAAATTATTTTATGGATGTTCTGCTTGCTATCTGTATCGGTAGCCTTAATAGCTTTCGACTCATGCCCTGCACCTGATCTTTAGGCTGTGGCTTCTCCAGAGACAGCCTGCTTTTGTGTCTATACAGTATCATATGATGAGACAATGTTGAATGAGGCTTTTGACTTCAATACATGTTTGACCAAATGATGGAAAGAACGGTGGGACTGGGGTCATGGCTAGATCTGTCATTACCGGTTGTCTTTGTGATTTCAGGCAAATGACTTCACCTCTGTACAGCAGGATCAATGTTTCAATTTTGCTTAATAGGTATTTCAAATCCACAGACAAAAATACTCTATAGAAGCTAGATGTTATACTATCACAAAATTAGACATGATTTGGTCCTGAAATGTGGAGAGTTCCTGACCTATGTATCCTCTTTTCCTCTGGTTACATCTAGTCAAAGAGAAGGTTCCCGTCATGTTTTAGGATCCAGACACATATTGCCAGAAGGAAACCTCAGCATTTTTGATGCTAAAAATCAAATTTATGGGACACTTATGTGAAGCTGTAGCACTGTTTATGGGAGAGCCAGCTTTCCAGTAACTGTACTGATGACCAGTGACTTAGTCGCCAGGCTGCCAAAAGTTCTTTACAAAGGATGACCAATGCTAGAAGTTTGCCCTTCCAATCTGGCATTAATTACCTTCAAGAGTCATGTGCTGAACGTGCTTCTGTTGTCCTTACTGATACAACTAGGACATGCATCCACACGCATCCACCTTTTACATGGTTAGTTCTTTCCTAAAGAGTGAAATTAAAGTAAATAAAACTTGGTAAAAGTCCACCTGCTCTTGTGTGTTCTATTGTTGCTTCATTAGTCCTGTTCACATGAACTCAGGAAACTACCAGTGAATCTCCTTGCCACTGCTGCCCACACATTGCTTGAGCTTGCTTTGCTGCTTCATTGGCTGCAGATTATTTGTTGGCATGAGGATGACATGGGGTCTAAAGGATCCTGGAGGTACAATTTCAGTGGCTGTGCACCACCAGGATTCCCTTAGATATGATTATATAGCATGAGTAGGTTGCTGGTATGAACTTCGTAAAATAACTGGCCCAGCTTCAACCACAGATGTACGCTCAAGAGTGCAGATGAGCACATGATGTTCATGACAGGATAGGTGAACCACATTACACAATCCAGGTATCCCTCATCCTTTAACAAAGTAAAGAACATACCCTTCCCTTTTATCACTAATAGTAGTATGGATATGTTTGAAACTCTTGCAGAGTTAACAGAGATAACACAAAATTATCACTGTATAGATTTACATTCATGAAGGAATCAATATTAAACATTGCATTGATGATTACCAAATATCTGTACACTGCATTTATAAGTGTTGCCTAGTTGTATTTCTGGTTACAACCTCTTCAACTTCTTAGCAGAAGATATAAATATTTAAAACTTGAAATTTTTTCATTTGCTTTACTGATTACATGGTCATGATTTAGCCTTGAATAATTAATCCTCTCATGCCTTCGCTTCCTTCTCTTTTCTTCTACGATTTCACCTTAGAAATAACTTACTCCTGCCTTTCATTACGTTGAAAACAACGTATATTCTTAGTGGAATGGCTATGTAGTATTTTTCCTCCCTTACATACCATTTTGTCTTGGTTGGCCCTGGCTGCAAAACAGCTGACCCATTTACCAAACAAATGTGCTAGAGACCTAGTTGTACCCTGAGATGCGTCCAACGTAATTTGACTGTGTTGATTTTCTGGCCATTTTTTTCTTTCCAGTAAGTCTATTTGCTCATTTGGCAACAAATGAGGAACAATTCATGTAGCACAGGCAGAAGGAAGAGTTCTCAAAGTCAGTTTACTTTTTTCTTGCAATTTATTTTTGAGTAGATTGTAATGGTGAATCATTATTTGTTTAAAAGACCTTTCTGTAACTCAATTTTGATTAGTATTTTTGTCAAACAGCCACTGGGAAGCTATCCAACACCTTCCTATTATTCATAGTAAATCTTCCCTCAGAAATACAAATCAGAAGAAATATGCTTGTGTTTGTAAATTAGTTCCTGAAAATCAGAGTATTCTTACAGCTGTCTTGGAAAAACAACTGGTTTTTAAACTCATGACTCATACTTACATGCCTTAAGAATCTAACTTGAAAAATCAGTCTATACCATTTTAGAAATGCTACAGTGATCCATTTTAACATTTCCAATGGGGTTTTGTTATTGTTTTAACTGAAAGTGTTCAGTGGACTTGACTTGAACTTACTTTTTTTTTTTTTCAGATACTCCAGAAGTTGATTTTCTTATGTAAAAATAAATACCAAAAATAAATGTTGAAAAAAACCCAAAAGTAAATCCTGAAAAAAATTGCCTACTTCGCTTTGCTACCCATCATCAATATGCATTACCCCACTTGTACTACTAGTAAGCTATACAAATTAGTGGGCAAAATCCCCTTCGGTAGGTCAATCGATGAGTGAGTGATAATTAGGATGATAAATAGAGACCACTAAAAAGCTGTCTAGTATTGAAGTTATGCTGCTAGTGTGCTATAAACCCAACTGCTTTACAAACAGAAGCAAAAAAGTGAAAATGAAAAAAAAAGTTTTGTAACTCATCTTTCTCTTTCTCTTTCAATATTCAAAACTTGGGCAAAAGATAAATGGCAACGTTTTTGCCAATCTGATAGTCCACACTGTGCAACAGACTTCTTCCTTGCCCTTCCTGAAGTGAAATGCCTGGAGGAGTCGTGAGTCAGCAAAAATCAGCTTTCAATTGCTCTGCATGGGAGAGACTTTTGTTTCTTTTCACTTATGAAACCAGTACAGATATTCACTAAGCTTCAGTTCAAATACAGGCTGTAAATGGCTCTGTTTCTGAGGAAAGGTATGAAATTTATGTATTTCATGTCAGCTATGGCTTTCCTTTTTGGAAAGAATTCATGGGATATTTTGCTGTATGCACACTGTGAATACAGAAAATTCACTCACTTTAGAATGTATTCTTAAATAATGATGGGATATTATATTGTTTTAAATCTAAGCAGGGAAACTACACTGATGCATGATTGCTAAAAGTAATTTGGTTTGTGACTTGTATTCTGGTGGTCCTTCTTTCCAGTACTTTTTCTACAGCATATAGCAATGTAAAAGATCCTTTGATTTCTGCAAAGAATAACCAAGGGAGTTTTTAGTAGCTAATGCATCATTGCTTTAACACATAGTTCTTATTTTGATTTCAAATATAATTACAAATAAATTTTCAAAAGTATTTAACAATCAAAAAGGCCAAAAATCAAGACACCTCATCTTTACCAGTACTTCTGAAAATACCTCATGTCCATAAGCCAGATGTTTGACAGTTTGAATGAGCTATTGTTATTTTTAAAACATCCTATAGACTTTCTTTTTAATGCTTACTTACTTTTCTACATTTCAGATTTTATTTAAACTTCATTCAAATGTTAAGGAATTAAGAGAGAACATAGCTCCTAAAACACAACAGAAATGTGTTATAAAGGAACAAAATCAATATAGTTCACAAGATTACATATATTATTGCATTGTTGTAACTGAGATTTTTCTGAGTCCCAGAACATAGGATGTTATACTTTAATATGCTAAAAATCTACTAAAATACTACAAAACCCCGAACCATGAGTTGGGATCAGTTAAACATCATAATTGAGCTTTGAGTTGTTTGTGCCTTATATAGGGGTATTAGATGCAACATGGCAAATTCTCTCCCTTTACTGATTTACAGAGATAATTTTCAACTGTTGATTCACTTGGAAAAGGTTGCTTTTCAGACTATCTGCAAAAGAGAGATTGCAATGTATGCTTTACCTTGAGGGCAAGAGCAGTGAACTCCATTTGTTAAACAAAGAGATGCACTAATTTGTGGGAAAGAGATAAGTAATAAATTCAAATATTTGCTGAATATTTTGTAATTAGCTGAGAGGACAGAGCCTCAATAAACTAAACAGAGCCTCTGCAATAAACTAAAATATTTGTCGGTATCTGCTGATACTATTGGTTTGGACAGGAACTTATTTACAGTGACATTAAAGGAAACAGCAAAAATGTAATATATTTCACAATAAAGCCCTGGTCTGTGAAATACTTTGCTTGTACTTTTTTAAGCAACCAGAGGAAGCCTGACTGTCAGAAAAATCCTAGAAAAATGATGGAAAGTGTATTTGCTTTGGAAAAA